TTGATGGCTTTAGAGCATTCCAAAAAGGATTTTAGTGCTTTTTGGAAAAGAACTAATAAGATGAGTGCTCGGCCTGGTCACTCAGTGAGAGCGTTAATGGCGTGTGTGATCCTAATAATATAGCTAATATCTTTCGTGACCATTTCTTGAGATCTCCTCTTGGGCCAGCGGCTTGCGATGTGGGTGATGCTGAGACCTTCACTGACATGCCGGAGATTCGAATAACTGCCAAAGACGTAGCTCAGGCCATTAAGTCCATCTCTAAAGGCAAGTCTCCGGGCCATGACGGTCTCAGCATCGAGCACTTGCATCACGCGGGTCCACATATATGTAGAACACTCAAAATGTTGTTTACTTTTTGTGTAAGGCACGCGTACCTGCCCAAAAGTGTGATGAAAACTGTTATTGTTCCGGTAATTAAAAATAAGAATGGAGATCAATCTGACAAAAGTAATTACAGGCCAATATCGCTGGCAACTGTAATTGCTAAAGTGTTTGACAGTGTGCTTAATGCACGGTTAAATACATACCTTCGATTGCACGACAATCAGTTTGGATTTCGTTCTGGTCTATCAACGGAGAGCGCAATACTTAGCATGAAGCACACTGTCAAATATTATCTGGATAGAAATACTCCTGTTATCAGCTGTTTCCTGGACCTGTCTAGGGCATTTGACCTGGTTTCCTATAACATCTTATGGAAAGAGCTAAAAGACATTAATCTGCCCTCTGATCTTATCAAGATCTTTAAATATTGGTATGGAAATCAGGTCAACTGTGTTAGATGGGCGGGATCTCTATCAGACTCGTATAAATTAGAGTGTGGTGTCAGGCAGGGGGGACTGAGTTCCCCTAGCCTGTTTAACATATACGTTAACGGGTTGATCGAGGAACTCAGCAGCATGCGTGTCGGATGCCATATAGATGGAATTAATCGCAATAATCTTAGCTATGCAGATGACATGGTGCTGCTGAGTGCGTCAATCTGTGGCATGCGAAAATTATTGAAAGTATGTGAAATGTACGCGATGAATCATGGCTTAAAGTATAATGTACTTAAAAGTCAATATATGGTGTTTGGGAGCGGGCGTGGGTATAAGTATGAATTACCTACAGAAGGTAAATAAATTTAAATATTTGGGGCATATACTCACGCCTGATCTCAAAGACAGTAATGACATGGAAAGAGAACGCAGGGCTCTGTCGGTAAGGGCAAACATGATTGCACGCAGATTCGCAAAGTGTTCGGGTGAGGTAAAGGTGACGCTCTTCAAAGCGTACTGTACCTCCCTATACACGTGCAGTTTGTGGCGAGACTACACGAAAGGGGCTTACAAAGCCCTGCGGACTCAGTATAATAACGCCTTCCGGGTGTTGATGGGGCTGCCCCGTTTTTGTAGCGCATCAGGGATGTTCGCTGACGCGCGCGTTGACGCGTTTGACGCCATTGTGCGCAAGAGGTGCGCATCCCTGGTGCGCCGGGTGCGGGCCAGCCCCAACTCCGCTCTCAATGCGATAGGGGACAGGGTTGACTGCCCCTACATTAGACACTGTTGTGGGCTTCATGCACCAAAATGTATAATTAAGTTTTAAATGTTTCAATATTAACCCTAGGATAAGTTCTGTATTTACTAACATTATGAGTCTGGTTACTCGAATAAAAATATTTTAATTGAATTGGCTGAGCGACATCGGACTGCTTAAAGGTCCTCTGCCGAGTACCACAAAAAACCGTTATATATTGACTATTGTCGACGAATTCTTAAGATTTCCTTTTGCCATTCCATGTTCCGATCTTAGTACGGATACTGTCAAAGTGAAACTGACAGAATTATTTGGGGTATTTGGCATTCCATCGTATATACACTCCGACAGAGGAATAGCATTTCTCTCTGATGAATTGAAACGTTTTCTTCATGATATGGCACCAGCGACCAGTTATGCAACGCCCTATTATAGCCCATAAGGAAATGGGCAAACTGAGAGGTATAACGGCATTATATGTAAAACCATGGAGCTAGCACTAACAAATTTCAAATTATCAATTCCACCATGGGAGGTAGTTTTGCCCCATGCCCTTCACTCCATACGATCCTTGCTCTGTACGACCACAGGCTGTACGCCAAATGAACTATGGTCATACCTACATCAACGACGCTCAGCAAATGGTCACTCAATGCCGTCCTGGATAACAACATCGGCAACAGCACTGCTAAAGAATAACACCAGGCGTAGTAAATATGACCCAATCGTTGAGGAGGTAGAGGTTCTAAAAGCAAATCCACTACATTCTGGCATCAGACTGCAGAGTGGGAGAGACGTCGTGGTTAACCATCGCCATCTAGTGTCTACAGCGCCGCCTAGAGAAGAAGTAGACGGTGATTCCTCTCTATATGAGTCGCCTGATGAAGAAACCTGCCGTCCACTAAGTAAAACGTGGCTAAAAGACAAAATGGAGAAATAACCGTTTTATACAGCAAAAAATAGAGCACAAAATTACCTTTTAAAAACAGTTAAAATTAGTTACCATGTTCGACTTATCGGAACTTACCCTAACGATGCATAGCTGACTGAATAACAATCACCTAAACATATTTACCTACATATTACTTGCATATTACAATAACTTTGAATATTAGTTCTCAGTTGAATAAAATCACTTTAATCGGTGATTGGAGTAAATTGCGTTATAATTTAACTTTTTTATTAAAATTCGAATCGTAGATCATTAATTGCTCTTGTGGTCTGAATAAATAAATACGTGGGGCGCACTATAAGTTTCCGGAATGAATAAGAAAAAATCCTACTATAAATGATCTGAATTGAATTTATTGTTTCTCAAAATATTCTCCGTTAGCGTTAATGCGCTTGTTCATACGAATGAACCAATTTTGAAGACATGTATGCCACTCCTCCGTGACAATCTCTGAAACATATTTTTCATACTCTTCGACAGACTCTTCAGGTGATGAAAATCGTTGACCACGTAACTGGTTCTTAATTTTTTTAAATAAATAAAAGTCACAAGGTGTCAGGTCGGGACTATACGCGGGATGGCTCATAAGGTCAACGTTGTTCACCTTCGAAAATTCATTTGTCTGTCTGGCCCTGGGAGAACGGGCATTATCGTGGTGCAAGATGATACGACGTTTATGGTTATTTTTACGGAGTTTATGGTCGTGTAGGTACCAATCACTATTCATGGTACAACGATTCTCCAAAGCAACAGTAGCCACGTGTCCAGTTTTATTAAAAAAAGAAGCAATCATCCGTTCAGAGGCACTTTGCACGCGCGCCACTTTTGTTGGTTTCGGTTCATCTCGAAAGACACATACGCTCCACTGCAGCTTTGTTTTGGGATCGCAACTATAAATCCATGTTTCATCACCTGTTATTATGTCCCACACCAAATTTGACGCTCATTCGTTGAATCTGGTAGGCATGGCATTGCACCAAGTGACGCGATCCGTTTTTAGAGCCTCAGTCAAATTGTGTGGGATCCACCGAGAGCACAGCTTTTTCACACGCAAATGTTTGTGTAGTATTGATTGTATTTGACTCATGCCTATGCCTAAAGATGCCCGAATCTCATGGTATGTCTTACGCCTGACTGTTTTGATCATACGGCGCACAGCATCGATGTTTTTGTTGTTCACAGCAGTGGACGGGCGACCATCACGAAATTTGTCAATGAGATTCACACGACCGCATTTGAATTCTACAAACCAGCTATAAATAGTCGTCTTGCATGGTGCTTCATCGCCAAAATTAAAAAATTTCCACGAGTCAATTCTATGGTGATATAGACAACCAATTTCTAAAATTACGTCACAATGTAAAAAGAAGTGACAGTCAGATGAAACAAACTGTATTCTACAGCCAAAGAGCTCCATTTTCAAATGTTGTAATTACTTTTTAAATATTGTTTATATACGTGGCCAGTTCTGGAAACCTATAGTGCACCCTACGTAAGATTAAATATACTAAACAATAAAGTTTATTTTATTGTTTAGTATATTTAATCAAATTTTAGTATATTTAATAAAAATATAGTGTAATACATTGTTTTGTATAAGTGTCAGTAATTACTTATCTCTTTCTCGCCCACACATTATAAAGACATCTTAAGAAGTGATCGAGAAAACTAAAACGTTATTTGTTGCGTGCATATTTAAAAAAAATCGTGTAAGAGCCTAGGAAATGAAACTATTTTTCCGGATTTAAATCGCGTATATTTGTTTTTTCAAACAAACGGACGTTTCGAGCCCTTTGATCACGGTTGACTATCAACCGATTTAAATCCAGAAAAATAGTTTCATTTCCTATGTGTAACAATCGCGAAAACCTAAGAACTCTATATCTTCTAAGTGCCATCAGATTTTAACACATCATGGGTACTATACCTCATTTGAAATCCCCGCCTTCTAGATAAAAAAAATATATGAACATAATTTATTGGCTGTGGTTTATTTTGGATGGTTTGGTAAGTTTGTTAAAGTATACATTTTTCGTTTGTTTTTTAGTAATTTTGTTAATTTCGTACCTCTTCACTCACGCTAAACTAATCCTAGACACAATGTGACAAATTTGAAATTACCGACGGCATATTTCTTTCTTTATCAGTACTACAGAATAAAAACAAAAAGTCACAAATGAGAAATAAAATCGAGATTGAGCTTATAGTACCAATGCTGACAAAGGATGTCATGACTACAGAGGTCTTTTATAGTACATTAATATAGGAACTGATACCGAGAATTGAAAACCATCACATAAAAAGTATAATAGTTGGAAAAAATATACTTATTACATCTTTGTTAATTTATGAGCTTAAGTTGTTATCTTATTCATGATTAAATACAGTTATTTTGTAGTAAAACTTCATTTAACAATTCAAATTATGTCTCAGTTGGAGTTTGCTCTATAAAGAACCGCAATTTGATGGCTTTGAGCCCATAGACAAATGAGTTGTCCGAGAGGTTCCGAAAAGATCGGTGGATTGCCTGTAGAATTCGGTGTGGATTGAGATGTCGGATATCGGCAGCGGTGACGAGGGAATTTCTAGTCAGAGTACGTATTTATTAATAACGGTGGAGTAGCCAACATACCCTTCGACTCGCGCCGCTGGTCATATTTCTTGCAAAACTAACGTACGGCAGTTTTAACGTTAAAAAGTAAATATCTCATTGTTCCCGTTTCAAAATGGCGAATTCGGGTCCGGTGATTCCTCTGTACGTAAACCGATGTCGGCTCCAGACCCAGGCCACGGTTGGGGGCGGCGGGACGCGGCGCGCCGGGCCCGGAGCCCGGCTGCGGCCGACCGCCGGCGGAGGTTGACGACCTATCGATTTTTTTGTCTGCGACCTCCGGCGGAAGGTCTGCTGTCTGCGGCAGCAGCCTCGCGCCCACCTCGTCAGCGCCTAGCCCGGGCACAAGCCCGCAATCAGACATTGCCGGATCTACGGCCCCTTTCCGATGGCTTTGTGGCGGCTGGTCATCCACCGCTCGGTTCTTGTCACCAGCTGACTGCTGTCAGCGAGCACCCTGTGCTAATTGCTAATCTTGTTACATGGCAATTATAGTCCAGTTTGCAGAAGTGATGTCAAGTGCTAAAGTGCAGTGCCTAATTGTTGTCTAGTGAACCAAAGCACAGTGTTCCTTTGTTCCTGAGTGTGATGACTAGTAGTGTCTATCCACAAGTAATGCTATATGTGAATATGAGTTGGATCAGTATTTCATACCAGGATGAAAGTGTGTTGCTATGCAGAACTGACAGCCAGCACTGTACCTAGAACAAAGGATTTACTTGGCAGTGTTGTTGTGGTCAGTGACAAAGGAAAATGCAGTGACTGTGCAGTGTGTGTATTGTTGAGTGCTCTGTGCCCAGCAGCTGTGCTGACCAGTCGCATACAGGAATAAGTACCTATTGCACCACCGTTGTGCTGCAAATCAATACACCATTTCATTGTCTTGTTTGCTTGCTGTTCTGTCCTACTGACATCATATTTTTTTAAACGCAATGCAAGTGTACAATGCAACTTTAACACTATTGATGCACCTTCTATTTGTACAGCCATTTGATTGATTGCTCTGTCTGTAAGAGGTGAGATCTCAGTTTAATGCTCAATATTGATTAACAATTAACCATAAAACCACTTTGTTGTAAGTTACTAAACATACAGTCTGGCTGTTCTGGGTTTTCAAACTTGGACCTTATTGGCTCCATCACAATCTGTGTTCTATGATGTGGGTGTCATAAATTGGAATGTATAGATGCATTCCTTCCTTTGGTCAAATGTTTATATTATATGCTGCTATTGATTAGTTCGTAAATACAGATAACCACCTGCACTGTGAATTTCTCATTTCATTATATTGACTTTGTAGAGGAACAATTTTTGTGCATTCTATATGCAATGTGGAAACTTGAACGAAAAGAAGTCAATTAATGCATAGAAATTGTCACATTTATTTTTTAACTGAAGTGGGTGTTGCATTGGTTTTAGCACTGCAGCGCTCATTGAGTAACAGAGCTCACTGTCGCGTTTAGCACCTTGACAGTTTTTAGTTTGACAGAGTGATTAAAGTTATATCTAGTTTATGCCGTAAGCGTCTTCCGCTCCACTTGTTCAAATCTGCATGCTAATGTTGATAAAGTTCTACAATGGAGCCCCATAATATATATTAATCATAATATTATGATTTGGTTAATATCTGGTCTAAAATGTACAAGTTGACAATACACAGTACTGTTTTGTTGGGCATCTCAAATGATTATGTTTTATTCTTTATAATCAAATAGATATCATTACAATGAAGAAGTAAAATATAAGTAGGTTATAAAATCTTTTTGTAAAAATTTCATGCAGCAGCAGCATAGCAACGAGCATTTTTGGGTCTCGAGGTCACTGCTGCCGTTGCTGCGCTGCCCTTTCACGCCGTTGCGACCGGCGCGTCATAGTAACACGAGTTAATGGGTTTAATTTCGCGAATGATTTAGTCAGCGATGGTGCCCGTCGCGCGATGACGCCACAGCTGACCCTAGCGGTCCGACAAAGGCGCGCGCCACAACAAAGGCGGGGCCCCAATCTAGGTTCGACTCCGTTAACGCGAGTGTCGGTACGCTTGTCTGGGCTAGCTAGACTTCTAAGGCTAAAAAATTCGATCAGTTAAACATCTCGAGAAAAGAGTCTCACAGCCAGGACTATACTCTACCAATTAGGTATCTCCATTGAGTAGGTACTCACTATTGGCCGTGGCTTGCCCGCCGCCATGGCTCATTATGCGCGTTTCTCAAGAAAAAATGGCGGGTTTCACTTTTTTGCGCGTCTGGCTGATGTCTGAGGCGCACCGTCTGCTCGCGAGTCGACGACCTGCCTTGACTTACATAACGCCGCTAAGTGTCTCGTAGCAATCACTATATCTGCTTTATTGAATTTGTATATTAAGTTTATAAGCTGTGCGCACCGTTTGGGTGGTTTGCTCTAGCGTCCGCTCGCGGTGACGCTTGTGATCTCTCACCACAGAAGGTCATTTTGGCGCTGCCTGAGTCCGAAATGATTGCTACGTTACCATCAAAGTCGTCCAATTCCTGCAAGTTGTAAAATATTGCACTTATTTTATTGCTTTTGTTCACGCTCACGCTAGATTGAAGAAGAGTTATACCAATGTATATGTATTTACGAGTATTAGCTGAAACAGTGTTTAAAACTCTCAATTTTGCTTTCGATGAATACCAAAAGCTCAAGGTCTCAATTTTGATATCGTTTCTCCTTCTTTTTTTCAATAAAACTTTGATTTGTACACAATTTTTATCGTGTTTGAGTTTTATGATGGTGACCGACCACAACTGTGGCAAAGTCAGATTTAAAACTCTATATTATATTGTAAAGGTCAGTAAGCTAGAAATATGATGTTAGGACGTTTTTAGATCGAGTGAGATGTTTCTGTCATCCTAATTATCTGAGTTTCGCGCAGGATGTTTTACTTGGTTATCGCAGCTATTTCGGATAGCCTAACTTCATGTATTGTTTTGCTAATAATATTCTTCATTTCGTGCCATAGTTTCGCTAAGGAGTACTGTCTAGCCCTCGCTCTTGTAATTAGTTATTGATATTCGTTCGCAGCAACAGGTCCGATGAGTTCTTGCTTCGATAACTATTATGTAGGAGACCGTTAACAATCGGTGCGAACCGAAGGCACGACGCGGTTCGGCACACGGTATACAGCCCACAGCCTGCAGCCATCAGCCTGCAGCCAATAGCCGACGCGGCTGCCACACAGCGCACTCCAACTCCATTGGCTATATTAACGATGCTGGCATCTACCGCGATTTTCTAAAAAGTTGATGATGAATTCCTCCAAGTTATCTGACTCGGCTATAACTTTTATAAATTTTGTTCAGGGCGGTCAGGTCACCACTTCCCGGAAGGTCTGCACCATGAATTGCTATTGGCGGCCTGTTAATTGTCGTTGTAGGTACTAGAAGCCGTGAAGATGCACTACATCTAATTGAAAGATGATTTTGAATTATTAACTATCTAAGCAGAAGAGTGTTGCTCGAATTGGTGGGTTATGTTAGGGGCGGTCAACGGTAACGAGGCCAGCCAGTTCGGGCGCGCTCCGCCGGCGGCGCGGCACGCGGTGTGTCGTGCCCTACACCGCTAGCACGATATCACCAAGTAATAGGTACAAGAGAAAAAAATAACTTGGTTTGTGGTACTCACTGCGCTTATGTCCATTATAGGTATATTTTAATACACACCCCATCAGACATCGCTTCGCACGATTTTATCAGAAAATAATACATTGGCACCAAGATAAATAAATGTTCTTTCGACGCGGCCTATCTTCATCGGGTTCGTATTATAAATTAAAAATATTTTTAGTTGATCGTTACTGCATTTTGTTGGTGATGTCAGGGTTATTTAAAATATGGTTTGCATCTGTAGTCTGCACCCTATAACGGTGACGCAGATAATGTAAAAAATATTGTTCATACCATATACCAAAAAGCCTGAGTTACAAAGTCGTCAATCGAATGAGGCTTAGCTTCCAGTTTTGTGTGAATAGTGATGGATATTGCAAAAAGCAAGCACATTTTCAGGCCATTGTGCCACAGGGCCAGGCGTCTCGCGAGTCGTCATACGACAATAATTTCATTTCGTTTTCAAGCGAAATAGATGTGGCCGAATTGAAAGTGTGTCACGATCCCCGTTTGTGTCTTTTTTGAGAAACCATGTCTTTGTCTCATGACGTGGTCGGTGCTCGTCGCATTATGATAGCTATGTAGATGAATGCACTTTCTCCGTAACACGTTGTACGTGGAATGCACCGCACTCGCCAATCGCTGTTGCAGTAGCACGGTTATGCATACGAATTAATTAAAACTGCTACATTAACCTAGTTTTATCAATTTCGAGCCGGTCGCTTTTGTGAAAGTATTATAATGGCTTCAATTATGCGAGACGATTTGGTAGGTACTTGCGTGCCTACACTACGCTGGGTTGGGTAACTACAGCGCGTACTCGCGTTCTGTTAACGGAGAGACCATTTTAATCAGAATGCATCCGATGTCGACAGCTGATAGCGCGACGTAACGCCTAGCGTGACAGGAGCAGATTGAGCGGCTACTCGATGTCCTCCTGATGATGTTAATATATTTTTTATAATATCAAGAGAAGGGATGAACAAGTCGTGCGCCTGATGGTGAGCTACACGCCTATCCATAATAGTTGCAGTGCTACTCGGAGCTTTAAATCGCAAAGATGTGAGGCGCACTGCCACTGCACCCGTCACCCGGAGACGTCAGTTGACAAGACCCATGTGCCTGTAATTTTAACCAGCACCCTAACCTTTCAAAACTGGAACAAAGTAATGCTCACATTTCTGCTTGGCGGCAGAAATAAGTAAGGTGGCAGTCCTTCCCTGGACGAACTCGTTCACAAGAAGCTCTATTGTTACAAAAATTTTAAAATTAAAAAAAAATGTTTGTTAATCCAAACATAATTGTAAACATCGTTTTATGCCAATAAAGCAGTCGCCTCCTCCGTTAATTTTATTTCCCTGCGTCCTTTCGTAGGTACGGTAGGTGTAGGTACACTGACATGAAAATCCTGCATTGTGGACGGACTAAGAAAAGTAAGGGAGCAACAAAGGAGATTTGCTGGTACTCATTGGTGACCTAAATCATGGCCACCGCGCCCACCGCGCCGCGCCTACTGCGCCACGCTGCGCCGCCGCCACCGGACGAAGCGCCCGATTGCTCAGAGGATAGGCTTCCCAGCAAATGTCCACTTTATGGTTATCACATCCATTGCCACGGCTTGTCTCTTACTGTCTCTACACCGATTCTACTCAGAGATTAGTCTGTTTTTTTTATTTTATTAGATTAGCAAATGTTTTTTAACTATAATCATAAATACCTTGCTGAAAATGTGAATTTTAGAATAGCTATAATTTTGAATTGTGACGGTAACATTAAGGACTTGCTTTGTGCCACTCATAAATGGGAGAGAAAATGTCTTGCAGCAGCGCGAGTGGCGCGGACTTTCACAAGGAGCACGTTATAGACGTATGTTCGCCTGCATTGGACGTCTTTTGCAACATTTGTTACGCTTATACCAATTCTTGGTCGTAAACTGAACCTTCCTATATAAAAGAAGAAAGTTTGCGTCGAAACTGACGAAAGTTTTCTTTTTCAGAATATCATGGTCAAGGAATGGATGCGGGAGGGAACAATTTTGACTCCGGTGAGTATCTTGTGCTCTTCTTTACGATTGTTAATTTGTTTTATTTTGTTTATTTCGTACATACTTTTTTACAGTTTAATATTATATATCTAAGATGCAATGAAATTATCCCCGACCAGTTTCTCCGTAGAGTAATTATTCTAATGCTGGGTACAATAAGGGGCGATGCACCATGACCATTACAACATGAATTTGCATAAATTGACGCCGTTTCGGGTGTTGTTCGATCAGTGCGCCTAAAGTCTATGACAAGGTTTATGAAACGGTGGCCAGACAAAGGCTCGCCGCCGCCGCCGCCGCCGCCGCCGCCGCCGCCGCCGCCGATGCTCGCAGATTGATTACGGTCGCGCGAAGGTCGTGACCCTCACCCTCCGGGCGACGACTCGACTCTTAATGAAATCCTTTATTTCACCTGCAGTCTGATCGCGACGACGCCGCTGCTTTACAAATGTTTAGCAACGTACATTCACCATTGTTTTGAAACGTATTTGTAGCTATTGTTTTACGTACCTGCCTACATATCAGTTAGGTTTTCATCAACATACCACACATGCATACACATGCCATAAATAATAAGTCCTTTGCAATTTTGGGGAGTCACCACACTTGTCGACACGAAATCGCATGAAGCCGGCCAGAAAAACTATATCCATGTCATAAGAGCGAAAGAAACGGTATGCGTCTCGCGTCGACAATCCGAGCGTAAACGAAACACGCAACATCTTTTTCGCTCTTATTCGTATGGACATAAAGGTTTTTGTGACCGGCTCAAATCGTTTCCGTGTTAATAAGTGTGGGGACTCCCTAAATCGGAGAGACCTTATTTACCCCTGAAAATAGTCAATTTAGTCCAAAAATAAATTTCGTTCAATGGTGCAGTCTTTTGATAGACACGGAAAGAAAACGTTTGTCGTGTTGAGTGGAACAAAGATTGCGAACGCAATTATGATGCTTACATTAAATGCAATAATCCCTAAGTTTATCTAATCACTTGTGTTGCCGTGAACGGTCGTTTCGAGTTAATCCCGTGATGAGGTGTGTGTACAGTACACCCCCTCCCTCCTCACCCGTGGCGCCGTTGCACCCCACTCGCGCCCGCGCGAGCTGCAGCCACAATCGATCGCGATTTCTAATTGCGTGATATTGCATTGCCATCCCGTCCCGTCACCGCCCACCGGCCCTCGCACCCCTCTCGTGTGCTACGTCAGTGAATGCTCTTCATTATTTACGTACAATTATGATGCATCCTAAGACTGTACGTTTGAGGAGTGAAATAGCTGCATGCATACGTTATTGCGCAAGTCGGCACGAGGCGGTCGCGGCCTTCAAGGGAGTGTAGCCCTTCCCGCAATATGAGTTCATTCCCATTCTACAGTACAGTACGTACTAAAGTACCATTTATGCAGAACGATTCTCACTGACAGGGACTTGTTGCGTTTCGCCGGCAGCGGCGGTACGGCAAATTAAACCAATTATGATTGTCATTACAAAGGCTGGAGGGTCCCGATGTGAACATTATTATAAAAAAAAAATATTCATCTGAATTTTGATTTGGAAACTCCCATGATACTGGGACCCAGACAGTCTCGATCCTAGCTCTACCAAGCCCGTGACATGCTTGTTGATGGGAGCCGTTGCGACGTCGTCATGTTCGTCAAGGTCATAGATGATGTTGCGTGTGATATGCAGGTCAGCAGCCACAGGAGCAGGAGCTGGCAACGAAGATGCTGCAGATCCAGTCGAAGCGATTCTACCTCGACGTGAAGCAAAATCGCCGCGGCAGGTTCATCAAGGTCGCGGAGGTCAGTCCCTTCCCCTTCTTATTCATTATTTTTATTGTTGTTGAATACGTCGCTGTATTGTGCTCACAACTTCGATCGGAATAACAACGACAAAAAGCAAAGACTTTTGAATTGACCTTGCTTCTCGTCTGTAAAATAAGGGAATCCAATTGAGTGCGCTACGGGTCCGCGCCTTGAAAATTCTTAATGCGGCGTATTTCGTGGATCGTTATCTGCTTTTCGAGTCGGCAAATGTTAACGAATGTTGGTATTTATAAATATGCGCGTTATGTAAGCGCTGCACGATAGCAGCGTTGATGTAATTTTGTAGATAGCAACATTCGCGCTATCGCCGCGGCTGCGCCTGCGCCGCCAAAGTAGGTACTTACAGTGGATATTAACGGCAAATTGTACAAGCACGTAAACATTGCGCGCTGGCAGGTAAGCACCGGCTCACAAGAGGGCTGATATTATGTTTAGCCAAATTTTTATTTCTACGCTCACCTCTTTGTCTACTAAATCTTCTATTAAGTCTTACGAACGGACGTCAATTGGGAGCGTTCTTCTATCACTACGCTACAAGTTGCAGTTGATAAGAAAATGTGTCGTATTTCATTGTCAGATCGGTGCGGACGGACGGCGCAGCCAGATCTTCCTGGCGATGTCGACGGCGGCGGAGTTTCGCGACCACCTGTCTGCTTTTAGCGACTTCTATTCGTCGCTGGGCCCGCCCAACCCCGACAACGTGCCCGATGACGGGAAGCTCAAATCCGAGATGATGCTCAAGGTACTGCCATCTCCAGTTGTTGCAAAACGCCAGCCCACACGAGGAAGACATCGTGGAAGGGTCGCTCCACACGGTTGACCGAGATCTGGTTAAGTTCGAAGTAGTCGTGTCGTCAGCGATCATCCATGTACCTATCTTTTTATCTTCACAATCACCTACTGCACGTTCTTAGGCACGCCATTCAATCTTCCCGCTGATTGTGCGCTGGCAGACTGACGGGCCGACGACGGTCCGCCCCGAGGCCTTATCTCGGCGGCCTCTCTGCGACAGCTCGAGTCGTCCTCGCACTGCGAAGATCCGCGGTAGATGGACGAGAGCTGACGACGAGGGCGGTGGTCGGTTTGCAGGACAACCGGCGGTACTACCTGGACCTGAAGGAGAACTCGCGCGGGCGCTTCCTGCGCGTGTCGCAGACGGTGACGCGCGGCGGGCCGCGCAGCCAGGTGGCGCTGCCGGCGCAGGGCATGATCGAGTTCCGCGACGCGCTCACCGACCTGCTCGACGACTTCGGCACCGACGACGGCGGGTACCACTTCATCTCACTCGCACCTTTCGCGCGTGCTCGCTTCGCATCGGAAAGGCAGATTTTTGATCCCGTTTTCGTGCACGTACGCTAGGACGAGCTCGCGATAGTCGCGGTAACCATCCATATGCATAAAAAAAGAAATTTAGAATTAAATCTAGAAAGGTTGACGTTCTGAACATTACTACGTGCACTCATTTCCGAAATAGAAATTCGTTCGTCGCGATAGAGTTGTGGAAAATGCAAATAAATAGTCGAGTCGCGCCGAGCGATGGCCGGAGCGGCGCGGGTGGAGCGCGTTTAGAGTGGCCGGGACCAGGAAGCGGTCGAAAGCCGCTTTTTCATAATCTGCGCTACCCGTTCGGCCGCGAGAGGCCGCAACCTGCCGTTTTGACTGTTACCGTAGAATGGACATTGTTCGCATAACGGCGGCAGAGGAGGCCGTGAGCCGGAGAGGGGCCGTTCAGAGCAGGGGGTGCGTTGCAGGTTCAAGGGCGAGCTGCCGGAGGGGCGGCACCTGCGCGTCGACAACAAGAACTTCTACTTCGACATCGGCCAGAACAACCGGGGCGTCTACATGAAAGTGAGCGAGGTACGTGCGCGTCGCGGCCGCGGCCCGCGCCCGGCACGCGTGCTGTACTGTGTGCACTGCGCAGGTGAAGAGCAACTTCCGCACGGCCATCACGGTGCCCGAGAAGTGCTGGGCGCGCTTCCGCGACATCCTGGCCGACTACTGCGACAAGATGTGCGCGCCGCCGCACGCGCACCGCGCGCTGGACTCGCACCAGGTGGGCCCCGCCCCGCCCCGCCCCGCCGCCGCCCGCCGCGCCCTCTGACCGCCGCCTGTTGCAGGACGCCTTCGCCAGCAGCGCGCCGGACCGGATTTGATGCGAGGGCGCCGCCGCCTTCTACTGAGCTGCCCGCCGCGAAGCGCCGCCCGCCCCCGCCGCCCCGCCGCCCCGCCGCCCGCCGAGACCCGCGGCCTCCGGGCGGGCGCGGGCGGCGCCGCCGACTTGAGTTTCCCCGCTGTCTTATGTGTATATAGTATTTTATATACGTGTAGTATATATCAGTGCGGAGCGCGCCGCCGCATCTCGACGCGTAGTTGTAAGACGATGTGATATGAAACGTCCGAGCTTTACCGTTCGGTCGAGACCGCTGTCGGCGCGGCGGGAACACCTTCGTCGACACGTTCGTGGCCTTTTAATCTAAATTTACGCACCCTCCCGGCGAGGTGGATTTTTTTATCGAGGAACTCTCAACGGCTCCGAGCTTTGTTGTCTAAATTACGTTTCTTTGTCGAGAGATGTTCTTTTTCTAATTTTTGTAAATAGTTTGGCGGCGACGAAATGAACTATATCGAGTGTTGAAACTTTCCGCGCCGGACTCGCTCCGGCCGCGAGTCGCGCGACTCGCCGTCGCCGGCGCCCGGGCCGTCGGCGACGCGCGGCCGCAACATAATAAATTAATTGAGAAAAATGTTAATGTAAAATGCCACTTATCTAGTTAGTAGGTGTATGTGTTTTTTTTAAATATGAATTATTTAAATGTAGTGTTTTTGTCTGTTCACGTCAAAACGCACTCGGCCGGCGCGACCGCGCGAAGACACCGGGTGTTTACAGCGCGACCTCGCGCGAGATTCGCGGACGAGTCCCGCGCTGCTGTGATATTCTCGTAGGCGACCCGCCGCGTCGCCGCTCTCTTCAATTCTAACGCGAAGGGCCGTCCATCCGACACCGCCATAGCGTACGCCTCTCGCTACGAACGGCGCAGACCGCGAACTCTAAAACGTAGCGTTGCCGCGTTCTTCGTGTGGATTATTTCAAAACGCGTAGATCAATGTAAAACAAACTTATCCACCCGTTTGAAAATCAAAGTTGCCGTCGACCGGTCAACCGTTGAAACTGCGCCACGGCTTGGCAGACGGGTCGACTTCGGCCGTGTAAGCACCCCGTGTTTCAACTCCGGCGACCGATATATTGCGGCATTGTGGAATCAACTCTCGCGCCACGGCGACGGCGGCACCCGCGGGCGTACCGTTTGCCGTGACCAGGTCGAAACGAGGCAGCGCGCCTCCGACCTCGCCGAGGGTCGCCGTCTCACGCTCCCAGTCCCAGTGCGCGGCTGGACTGAAGGATGTCAGTGTAACCCCGCACGGCGCGACCGGCCGCGGCGTGACGTCACTGGCCGGCGACGCGGCCGCCTCGGGGCCTCGGGGCTTCGGGGCTTCGGGGCCTCGGGGCCTCGGGGCCTCGGGGCCTCGGGGCCTCGGGGCTTCGGTAGTCTCGGACGCCCCGCAGCCGCCCGCGCCGCCGCGCCGGCCTTGTTGAGACAATATTTCGAGTTAAGTTTATTTTCGAAATGATAATGCTCCGATTATTGTTTCCCGCTTGTCACGGTTTGCATCTGTAATGTATTGAAATTATATGTACATGTATGATAATTGCGAGTCAGATATACATAGTGATAGTTTATAAATATACTGCGTTACTAAATACTAGGATAATATTTTTGTACGTTTATTTGGTTTCGGGGTTCCTCCGAGCGTTTGCTTGTCTTCGGACCGCCATCCTTCTGTTCGCAATAAGCAGAGTTGCACGATCCGGCGCGGCTCTTCCGTCGGGAGCGCCCGCGGCTCTCGCTCTCGGTGCGGCTGAGAAGTGTCATTGTTATTTATTGTTATTAATTTGTAGGCGAAACGAAAATCGACGTGTTTCAATCAGGTTTTAATCGCTACTCTGTCTTTTATGTTTATAGCTAAATCTTAGTGAATTTCTCAGTGTTTAGTAAAACTAGAAATTCTCATCGTGAATCGAGTTTCTCCAGATCTCCCGCCGTACAGCCGCCACTAGAGATCTGCAGAAGAGTCGACTCGACGTAAAAGTAACGTAACGTAACATAGTAACGCGGCTGCTGTTGCTGGACTAGACATAGGCTCATACGCGGTGCGCCTGCGCCGCCGCGGTCCCGCGGCCGGCGGCGGGCGCGCTCGCCACTCTAGGTTAATTCACAGTACATTCTCCTCGAGACCACGATCTAACATTGTGAGGGATAACTTGGTGACGTCCGATTTGAGTGTTACATATATAGAAAAAAAAGATAATTCCTATATAAAAATCACTTTCTCTATATACTAAATAGAATATATTGCGCGGTGGGGCAGCGCGGCTTCTGCGTAAGTGCGTAAGTTTAGGCTAGTCGTCGTCGAGCCTCGTGCCTGGCGGGCGAGAGGCGTGGGCGGGGGCGGGGTTTGCGAGAGGCGCGGGCGCGGGCTTAATTTTAACTCTTTATGGTACAAAATGTAATTTAGTTCCATAGACGTTTAAGATTACAGAGTTTATATTTAGAGAAGTTTAAAAATTATATTCCGCCGTCGGGCCTATCGGCGTCAATCAATATATTATGTATATGGATAATAAATACGAATATGACAAGAGTTATTAATTATAGTGGCTATCATTACGAAAGCAAGTTGTTGCGTGGTCGTTACGTCTCGGCAGCGGGCAGCGGTGGCGCGGTCCGAGGGCGACCCTCCGGGGCGCCTCCGGAGTGCTCCTGTGATACCGCGCTCCCCCGCCCCCCCGCGCCCCACCCGCGTCTCGCCGCCGTCGCCTCTCGCTCGGCATCGTCCGTTACGCTCAGCGCATCACAGGTTTTGTTCGACCGCGCCGATCGGCCAGTGAAGCCGCGCCTCTGATCCGCCGCGTCTCATCTCTTCGGCTCTGAATCGACGCAGGCCGCGGCGGAGTCGCGACGCGGCCGTCGTGCAGTTCGGCGCGGAGCGGCTCGTCCCCTGCCGGTGTGCGGCGTTGGATTGCTCGAGACCGGTCGTTTGTCGGCAATAGTCAATTATTATTAGTATTCAATACTTAACGCATGGCGCTGGCACATGCGAGTACGTTGGGCTTTGTTTCAATCTCGTATAATCGTTCGCGGCGGCTCTACGAAACGACACTTGGCAGCGGCGAAGGCTGCTTTCGGGCACCTCTCGCGATACGATATGCGAAGGAATAAGGCGTAGCTTTCGTGCAGCCGTCGGTGTGTCAGCGCGGATGCCCCCCGCGCCGCCCCGCCCCGCTCCGCTCTCGGTTATACATTACTTACGTTAATTAAATAGGTCACTTACTAGATACGAATCGATTCAACTGCGAAACTTATAAAAAACAGAGTTTAATAGTTCGTTAGTTTTAATTATATTTCTGATATTACTTGATGTTTTGCTAAAATGATTTATCGTGTGCGTTACGTTTGATGCGCGCGCGTCGTCACGTCGCGCCGCAGCGGCCGGCGCGGCGGCACGGCGTCTGCGCCTGCGCCGCCGCGCCCGGCTCGCTCCCGTTCCGTTCCAGCGCGGTACTGTGTCGTACTGCACGCACTAGTGTCCTTACTGACTAGAAAAATATAAAAATTACTTTGCGTCTCTGTTTCCCTTTTACTTTTTATGTTTTTCTGGTCAACGCAACACCAATGAACCGCCTCGTACAAAAAAAGTAACCTCAAAATTCATTATAATTACCTATAAGCAATACCGCAGTACCTGAAATCAGAAAGAGTTATAAAAAGTAATAAAAATAGTTTGGAAATAGTGGTCGTTACAGAAAACTGGCAAACGCATTGTTCACGAGCAGGAACCGGTCGACGATGGTCATTTGGTGCGTTGCTTTTCGTTTCGAGTGGCGTCTCTGGAAGTACATGTGCTTAGTTATGTTTCGAATGGGAAATGTGATAGTCGATAGGCCAGCAGAGCCAGCGAGGGCTGACCTGCTGCAGCCCGTAGTGTAAGCGGTTGTAGGGATCACGCGCGGGCGGATAGCGCTCGACGCTGGAGCGTAGTGAGTGGCACTCACGCGGAGGACTGTACTTCGTCCAGGAGGGATCGGAACTGCTTCAATCGAAGGGCGAACGGTCGAGGACGTTTACATCAGTTTTAGTTATGTTCGCGTAGGTCATATGATAAGTATGTAACGTTAGGGAACATCTGTCTCGCTGAGACGGTCACGTCACGAATGATGTATGCTGATATCAGAGAGCAAAGGAGGAGTGAACAAATACTGCCAATCGATTGTAGTTTATATTGTAATGGATAATGATTTGTAGAGTTAACGATTTCGAAATATTGTGTCCTAAATATTTCATATTTTATGTATAGTATTGATATGCCGGTGGTCGGTGCCGTCCAGACTCGGGCTCTCGCCGACGACTGCGTAGCGCGCGTCTGGACGCCAGCGGCCGCCATGTAAATGTTTTCCTTAGGGTGAGGCGATGGATACAAACTGTGTTCTGTAGTGTACCGAGCGACAGGGCGAAGATGTCTAGATAGGTTTGCACTTGGGCGTGGCGCGGCGCGTCGCGGTTGCGTCGCAGCGACGACGCGCCGCGCCCGAGCCCCGCGTTAGCTACGAACGAGCTAAGTTGTAAAAAATAGGTTGCGATGTAAATTGTGGTGTTAGGGTAGACGAAGACGGCATGTTGGGTGTTGTGTATGGAGAGGGAGGGCGAGTGACGAGCACCCGATATGCAGAGGCCAGGAGTTGCAATGTACTAGTTGGTAGATTGATATCGTGAAATTGAACTGTTTGACTGACGTGGCTCATGTGATGAGGATAAAAACTTTTTGGACTTTTTTTTATTGTTTCTAAATTCGTGTGTAACACGCTCGCTTGTTGAGACTGGTTCGTGTGCGCGGCGGGCGCCTCGGCCGGGCCCGCGCCCGCCGCAGCCGCGCCGGAGCGCCGCTCGCCG